ATTTGCCCAAACATCAACTCCAAAGGCACAGCAGCACAGACCGGTGTGAGAGCCTTGGCATGCAGGACAGCTGCTCCTGTGCAGCTGGAAACTTGCTGTCCCACTGTCACTACTATGGATAGCAAGGGTATTAGTCCAAGCTAACCGATTTCTAAACTTAGGATCTGTTCCTCAGCCTATTGCCGGAGGGGTACCAGAAGCAGCTGGTGGCAGGGATCTGGAAGTGTGGAAGGTCACTGGTAGCTTTGCAAGTCTGAGATTCCCTGTTCTGGAGAGTGGCATGCATATGGAAAAAATACTGTTTGAAACCTGCCTGTTTACTTCACTGTCATCCAAAGCTTTCCATGGTCACTTGGGTTGGAGAAAGCATTTATTTAACCTGTGAAACGCCTGAAGGCCTCGGAGATGAAGAGCTGCAATGCTGCTGGCTATTAATTGGTCCTGGCATTGGCAAATGGTTTGAGAAGAGAGCTATTAAGTGTGGCTGAGGGGCAGAGCTGGAGCAGTGCCGGAGGGTGCTCTGAGGCAGAGTGGTGCAGAGGGAGGCCTGTGGCATAGGGATGTGTGAAAATGTACTGTTGTGAGAGAATATTTAATGCAAACGATTGTGGGGCTGTGGTTGGGCTTGAGGTTACAGGGCTGGGTGGGAACACGGTGAAAACGCCACATCAGCTCTGGGAACTGCTTTTGTAGGTACTTACTGCTCCTTTGCTGGGTTAGTGATTGCGTGTTTGTGTCTGCCATTCTGCAGGAATAACTCCCTTCAATTTGTCACCTGTGCGAACAAGAACCGACTTTGATTTCTTTGTTTCTTATTTCTCCCTGAAGAAAAGAACCAGACAAACACTAGCAGACTCTATCTCCCTGGTTAGGCATTGGTTTCATGGTGTCTCGATACTCTGCGTGCTGTACAAAAAGAAATAGTTCAGTGTTTATGGTGTTTTATGGCAGCAGTGATGCAATGTTCATTCTTCTCAGCTCTGCAATTCCACTCCCATAGTCATCTCCCAGTCTTGGAACATGGGAGATACTGGGTGGAAAAAATTAGACACATACTTTCTGCACTGTTGGCATGGGCCTTGTTTTGAGGTGCTTACAGCAGTGAATGGCTACCGGGATGAGTAGGAAGTGAGAGGATTTGCATGGGACAGGAACAAGGGTTGGCCTGGTGAGGGCCAGGGTGTACAGGGAGATATGCAATACTGGTGGAAGAGCTGAATATGTAAACCTGCTACTGATGCTTTACCAGGTGGTTTTTGTGCAGAAGGGCAGTAACACTGTAATCCCAGTGCCTCCCTGGCTGAGCAGGAGTGAGCACTGAGTGTGCAGCAGGGGGACAGCACCAGCCCTGGCCCCCAGTGTGTGAGGAGAGCATTTGGCTGTGGAGGACATCCCATTTCATTCCCCTTGCAGGACACCCATCCTCCTGCCTCACCACTGCAGACAGACACCCAAGGAAGCATTACTGGCCTAAGCAAAGAGTTAGGACATGCAGCACAAGGGTCCAGAGGAAAGGGGGATCGACAGATTCAGCCAGGAGGTAATGAAAATGGAAAAGATGAGTAGGAGGTGTCTGGAGAGAGGGAGTACTGGTTTTCCAGGGCCCTTCCCATGCAAGTACCAGCAAAGCAATCTGTGTTGCAGATGACGTTTCCTGGTGCAGGTGCCATTTCAAACACATGATTAGAAGATGAGAAGCTGAAAGGGACTGGTCCTTGAAAACTGGCTTCCAGCCTAAATGGGTGTATCCAATAGACCAGCTCAAGTCAACACGACCCACAGGACTTATGGCAGGATGATGTTTAAAGAGTTCAGAGTCACAGGAGGATTTTAGCAAATTTTGGTGTGTTCTCTGTATTTCTTTAAGAAGACTTTTATCATAGAATCATAGAACTGTAGAATGATTTGGGTTGGAAAGGGACCTTAAAGATCATCTCATTCTAACCATGGTCAGGGACACCCCCTACTAGATCAGGTTGCTCAGAGCTCTATCCAACTTGGCCTTGGACACTGCCAGGGATGGGGCAACCACAGCTTTCTCTAGGAAACCAGTGTTAGTGCCTCTGCACCATCTCTTCTCCAGACTGAATAGCTCCCACTTTCTCAGCCTCGGGGAGGTGATCTAGTCCCCTTATCAATTCCATGGCCTCCTCTGCACTTGCTCCCACACTTACAAGTCTTTCTTATGTTGGGGGCACCTGAACTGTACATAGTTCTGCAGGTGGGGACTGATGAGAGCAGAGGGGAAGAATCACCCCCTTATGACAGAAAGAGACTTTTCTGTACTTTCATCCTCATTTAATCCAGCCTTTTCTTTTCAATGGTGTACCCATACATGTCTTCCTTTTCATTTACTGCACCTTAGTGCTTTTTCCTGGCATTCTCAGAAAGCAAATACTGCAATAGTTACTGAACTCACCCTTCTGCTTCTCCTCACAAATTTGTATTAACATCACCTTTCCTTTTGCTCAGTACTGACTATTTGTGCTCCTGGTGAATGGCTTCTGTCATTACATTTTGCGCATACTTGCATCAGGCTCTGCAGTGATGTCACTCAACAACACCTCTTTCTTTTTGAAGCTTTCTGTCCACTAAAACTTTTTTATAGAAAGGTGCTGAAGGATTTGTTTCATCTCAGCTCCATTTGTTGTACAGCTCTGCATAACATTGCTTCAGCTGCTTATTAGTTGTCAGTCTGCACTCATCTGTCCTAACTCAAATGTCTAAAACCTCTCTTTTATCTGGTGATACCATCCCTGTGTTGCCTTCAGAGTTTTTAATGTTGTTCATGGCTTAATGTTGCTCTCTTCTCTCTGATCAGTGATCAGGATAAGGGAAGTGGTGCTTGGACTTTCCTCTCCTTTCATATTCTTCTTCATCTTCCTGCTCCCAGTTATTGCTGCTCACCTTCATCTCTTCCATCATTCAGCTCCGAGCCCTTCCCCAGACTGGTTAGCATAGGCGTCCTTGAGCAACAGTCATGGACTTTCTTTGGTTTTGTTTTCTGTGAGTCTGAACTACTTGAAAACCTTCTGGGTTTTCCTTCATTTTAGAAAAATCTGGTAAGGGGCCACCACACTCCCCACAGCAGAGGAAAGTTCTTGGGAGCGTACTGGCACACAGCTTCCCAAAATAGTTAATGCTTCTATCTGGAAGAATGCACAGACCTGTTTAGGTGGCCCACTGAGTCGTTGAAGTGTGTCTGAAAAGTGCCTGGAGGGGGTGGTGCTCAAATCCAACACCACCAGAAAAACACATGAACACTGGTGGATGCAGGCCAAAACCTTCACGCAGGCTTCTAATTTTAGGTTTTAACCTTTCCAGTGCCCTGAAGAAGCCTTCAAAATCTCCAGAATCACCGACCTCTTTGGAAAACATTGGCCTAAATGCTTTACAAGTACTTTACATTGTTAAAAAAAGTATTAACGAAGCTTTATAGGAATGAGTAATCTTTAATAATCGGTTTCAGCTTCTCAGGCAGCAACTGCTTATTTTGAGAGAAATGCTTGGCACAGCTTGAGAAAGAACAGCCAATGCTCCTGCTAGCAGAGGAATGAAGAGCAATAGGATGTAGTGGCAACTCAAGTATCCCTAATTTCAGACATCCTCGGTGACGTTGGCTTTCGAGACTGGAAGTGTCTGGATGTGACCACATGCATACATGAGCACATTATGAAACGATTGATTGCTCAATGAGTATTTTTAATTAGTATTTTCTTTTTAAATGCTCCATTTACCTTCTTCACCCAAAGTATTTTTGCCACGTGCAGTTTTTATTGGAGTAAACATTGTCCATTTAGATAGCTCCTTCAAACCAGTTCAGAGGTATCTTGATGCTGTTTTGATTTTTTCCTTCCTCTGACTCATTCCTTTAATCTTGCTTATGTTTTCTCAAGTGAACTCTGCATACTCATATTGACCCCAAGAGTTACAGACTCAAAGGACTAGGGCAGACGAGAGGATATAGCAGATAAGAGATCTATTTTAAGCAAAACATTTTCCTGAGGTCATATACATCTTAGATTTAATGTCTTTGTAGCAAGTAAGACTTCAGGTTATTAACTTTTTTTGTATTCAGTGGGTGAAATAAGTTAATGCAACACACCTGTACTCTATAAGGTGAATTTGCTGCCAATTTTCTCTTTGCTGTTTATGTTGTTTGGGGTCCTCCTTGCTTTTTCAGCCAGAGGATGAGAAATGGACTGAATGCTCTCATTTCTAATGCAGTCTGTTAGGCAGTTCTGAGTTCTAGCTTGGCAGGAAAATGGTTGAAGGTTTCAATTGTTTAAGATCTTTATGAAAACGACTTACATACCCAAATCAATGGACATTTCCACTCTATCTTCAGAACATAGCCCTTTAATTAATAATTCTAACTGTTTTGCAAAGCTGAAATTTTCCTGACCCCAGAGGAAAGCTGAGCCCGTTCAGCCTATGAAAATCTGAGCCTAGTTTGCTCCAGAGGGGTCAGTCCTGGAGTCCTGAGCACACACTGCTCTTCTTACAGTTTCAGTGACAGAGCTACTGCCAAGAGCACAAGGCTGGGTAGGCTCCCTGGGAAGGGCCCAAGGGGGAATATCCTGGGGTTGGAAGATTGAAGAGTTTCACCAAAGGTAAATATATATTATGCCTCGGAGTGATATCCAACATTAAGGAGAGCAAAGTAGGTGGGAGCTAATAAAAGAACTTGTATTTCTCCCTTTCCCTCGGCAGTAGGGGCCAGAGGGGGAGGTCATCCTTCTAGGAAGGAGAACACAGCCAGTAACCTGCCCACATCAGCTCCACATTGCATAAGGCCTCATTTAGTACCAGGTAATGAACTTAATTTAAGCATGCATGTCCCTGCCCTGGCCTTCCCACTCTGCATTATGGGCTTGCAAGTTTGCTTATGCTAAAGGGCAGAGCAAAAATAAATTCCCATACTCCCAGGCATGTTCCATCCTCTGTATTGGAGCATGGGCCAGTGTCCAAATAGTTTGGATATGAAGTGAATTTGGGCTCCAGGACAGGCTCAGACCTGCTCATGAAATTGCAGGGCGATGACACCAGGATCCTGCTTTTATATTTGCAGTTGAGTGGCTGCCACCGCTGCGACCCCCAGCTGTGACAGAGGAGCTCAAAGCTGACCTTGGCTTTCCGTGGTCTGCAGGGACAGTCCATGTTGTGTTACTGTTGAAGAGCAACTGGAAATTTGGAATTAGGTGAAGCTGTAGCGCAGGTAGACAAAGATTCTATTCTGGTTTGGGGTTTTTTGTTTTTATTTTCATGTAATAGTTTCGGGTTTGGTCATGTAATGGTAATGGTAATGGCCAGTTTCTTCGCGAACGAAGAACCGGGGAAGGTCTTTACACCTTCCAGCCTGCGCATTGGATTTTTTAGGTGAGACACAGTGTGCGCGGAACTGAGCCCACCCTTTAATCCTGAGGTTCATCTGCCGGGGCCAAGCACGCTTGGACGGTGGCAGCGAGGTCCTCAGGACGTAGGTTTGGTCATGTAGTCTGAAGAGCTACCCCAAGCCCCGGTGTTGGGTTTGGTCTGGGAGACAGGTCTTGCTGGGAAGCGTTCGGTAAGGTTCCCTGGAGCTGGCACAAGCGACTGTCACCCTGGAAGGTGCCACCCCAATGCACCGCTTGTTTCGATGCACCTGAACCTTCCGCCCGCTCACGGGGCCGGTCGGGTTGGGCACACCCGGGAATGTGTGCTCCCCCGGCCCCGGCACATCGCGGGATGTGCTCCCCCAGACACACCGGGGGATGGGCTCCCCCCGTCCCGGCACATCGAGGGTGTGCTGCCCCCGGTCCCGCAAAGGGAAGGCGGCGGCAAGAACTCGAAGCGACAGAAGCTGCCGCTGGGGCCCTCCCGTCCCCGCCGCCTGTCCCCGGCTCCTCCCGGGACTGCGAGCCCCGTTTCCCGGCGCCGTTCGCGGGCGGGACTACAGCTCCCAGCGCCGCGCCGCGGTGACATCATGTGCGGTGGCTCGGAGGTCACATGCCCCGCCGGCCCCTTTGTTTTGAGCGGCGCTGGCAGCGCGACCGGCGGCGGAGAGGCCCGAGCGCTGCACGGCTGCGGATCGCACCGCTGCGCTCGCACCGAGCGGAACCCACCCGACTCCGGCGGCCGCGGTTCCCGCGGGTGCAGCGCGGACGGGGCGCTCCCGGCTGTGAGTGCGGGGCCGCGACGGGGGCGGGGGGCTCGGGCGGCGGTACCGGGAGCCCGCGGGGAGGGCGCGGGGGCTGCCGCGGGACAGCCGGGGCTGGGACGCGGGGCCGGCCCGCACCGTTATCACCGCGGCGGGGGCAGTGCGTCCGCGGCTCTGCGGGCAGCGCGGGGCGGGGGTGGCACGGCGGGGGAGGGCTGTTGGCAGCGCGGATGCGCCGGGACGGCGGCTGTGTGTGCACCCTGTGTGTTTTGTGCTGTGGTTGTTGCCCGCTGCGCGCAGCGGGCCCAGCGGGCAGGGCGCTGCAGGGCCGCCGGGCCGGGCCGGTACCGGCGCTCGGGCGGATCGGGCGGGGGTCGCCGCTGCCCCCGCGCGGTTTCGTAACGCGGGTCTCCCCCGAGCCCCCCGAGGCCGCCGATTGGCCGGGCGGGCCGGGGGAGGCGGGGCCGCGGCCGGGGATTGGCCGGGGCGCGGGGGGGGCGGGGCCGGGCGGCCCGGGGTGAAGGTGAGCTGGAGGGCGGGACGGGAGGAGCCATTTTGTGCCGCCGCCTCCGGCCCCTGCTTTGCTCACTGGGCTCGGTTTCGGGGCTGCGCTGTTCCCTGCGGGAGCGGCTGGAACGCCCCGGCACCGAGCCGTGCTCTCGGCAGCTCGCCCGGGCTATGTGCGGACAGGTCCGTTCTTCAGCGCTCCCTGCTCGCTCCTGCCCCCGTGGGTGAGCCGTGCCCGGGCCGCGCTCCAGCCCGACGGGCGCTGCCGGCGATTGGGTGTGAGGGCAGCTGATGAACCCACCAGCAGGATGGGGCCGTGGCTGGGGCTCGCCTTCTGGTTTAGTTTGTTTTAGCAAAATCGGGAAAGGATTGTGGCTTTCCACGGTTTCTTCCCCATACATGAGCAATACTACGCAGTGTGCTTTTTCCTCCCCTCCTTTCTTCCCCCTCCAGTGGGTGTGTGCCCTTCTCAGGGACTCCTTCACTTACTAAAGGGTAGCTGAAGATTTCTGCACACTTTATAAGTGTTCTGTTTCGCCACGTTTATGTTTTGTTTTTACCCAATAACCATGACTCTCATGTCCAAATCAGTTCCTGTTTTGGTTTTTTTTTTTTGGTTTTTGTTTTTTTTTTTTTTTCCTGGGTGACTTTTGAGGGCATTTAAGGCTTGGTTTTGTGTGTCATTAGCTTGGATTACTCTTGAATTTTGGCATTCTTTTTTAGAAGATATTTAGAAAATACTGGTCTTACATTACAATAAAAAAACTTCTGCAGTGCAGCTAACTCCTTACCAGTCAATCAGCTCGACCACTGTGAATTCTTGTTTACTAGTTATTCGGTATTCCTTAAGACTTTATTTTAGACATTCAAGTACTCAATTTCTTTTGTGAAACGAGAAAACGACGATATTTTTTCTTTTTTAAAAAGTGCTTTAAAACCAAGAACTTCTGGGTCTTTTTATGTATCTCAAAGACGAAAATAAATGTGTTTGTTTTTTGCTGGAGGAAACGGTTGCCTTTTTTTTTTTTTTCCTCTCTTCCTTTAAAAACAAAAAGAGCACGTGTTGCGGTTTAGCCAGTGAGCTGCAGTCGATACACTGGGAGTTTGTTTTCTCTGACTCTTGCGGTAACCAACCATCTGAGATGAAGCACGCCTGCAGATCGTGTTACCTGGAATCGCAAAATAAGTAGGATTGGCCAAACCTGAGTTGCAGGTTCCGTGCCTGGGAAGGAAAACACCGCTCCTGTTGGCGGCCTTGGCTGTGGCACCTCGGGGGTGCTGTCGCTGGCACTACCGGGGAGCAGCAGACACGACCTGTGTGCGGCCCCAGCCGTGCCCTGACCGAGCCGCAGGGCTGCCCCGGGGCCGTGCTGCTGGCTCTGCCCTTCCCGGGGCACTTCCCAGCGCTTCCTTTTCTCCCTCCACAGGCGGTCACCGCTCCGGCCACGCCAGGGGAGCAGCGGTGGGCACGGGCTGGACGCCACCTCCGCTGGCAGCAGCACAACCCCTGCTCAGCCTCAGGTACTGCCGAAACTACACCCCGAGGGCAGGGCTCAGGCACAGCTGACGGTGAGGTGTTACCAAAGGGCCTCGCCCCAACCCTGTGTTTCCTCTGTTGCTCTCTCTCATTTCTGCTGGTGGGGCAAAGGAGTTTTGTGACACAGAGGGCAGACAAAACCAGCCCACAGCTGTTGGCAGAGCTGTGGGTGAGGGACAGGGGTAAAATACGTGAGGATGTTGCAGTGGAGGAAGAAGTTTAGTGCATCATGGAAGTAACTTGCGTTGGAGGATTTACTGCTGGAAGGTGTCAGGGCAAACATGTTACAGACCTCTTTTACCAGCCTCTGATTTGGGCTCTTAGGATGTTTCTGAGGAACATCTTGTGTAGAGAAACCTACAGACAATATAGGTGAAAGAAACAGAGGTACTTGAACTTCTGGTGAACCCAGCTTAATTCAGAGATGTGTGTATGTGCACATAGCAACTGTGTCAGGGACACGGTTGTGTTTGTAAAGCATTTTTAAAACCTGTTGATTGAAAGTGTGATATGTTGGTTTTTTTTTCTTTTTTATTTTTTTTTTTTTTTTTAATGGGCAGACTCTGATTTGACAGACTTAAGGTCTGACCCTTGTTCAGGCAAGCAATCCAATGCATTTTGCATTATTTTTTTCTTTTTGGTCTAATAATTCCCAGTACTGCCTTTGGGAGGAATGCATTTGTTTTTTGTTTTGTTTAAACTTGTTAAAGAGATCCAAGTGTCAAATTCTCTAAATGACTGGTGCTTTGTAATGCAGAGTCTGTAGGCAGGTAGGGCACCTCTGTATTCAGGGAAGGTGCAGACAGGGATTTCTCCCCTTGATTCCCCCCTTTGCTCACTAACCAGCTGAGCCTCAGGCACAGGTTCCCCCCTGCCTTTCCCAGTTTGGGGCAGGCAGCTGCAAGGTGACATTTTAAAACTGCCAGAGCAAGATTTGCAGGAAGGCCACACATATGTGTGATAGAGCTGAACATGTGACGCTGTTGCTGATAGGCCTGTGAAATTGCTGTGCTGAAGCCAACCTCAGAAGTGATTAACTGGACAGAAATTATACGATAGTACATTCAAAGGCAGTAAGTTCTGCACTGGAGTGAATTTCTTTTTCCTTTCTAGTGGCTTATTTGTAAATATACAATATTTACCCTCTTGATTGGTTTGTATTCCATGGATTATTTTTTATTCCCCCATTTCTTTAAACCATTACGACATAAAAATAAATCGTTTGCTGACCACTAATTCTGTGTTGTTCCAAGCATAAAGAAGAAATTGGTTCCTTCAGTGTGCAGTCCTCACCCAGAGCTCGTTTCCCTTTATTAGTGATTGCATAATACAGTGCTGTCTTAAGTCTTAACTTCTCACATAATGAGGAAGATTTAATCTCGAAGGTTTTGTTACTTAGCTGCTGTGTTTTCCCCTTTCATGCAATTGTTCAGGGTCTTGTTTCAGGTTTCAGGCTAACTTTGCTTTGGAAAAGCTCCATTTTGTGAAATTCTTCTGATTTAACTCTGTGATGCTGGAATCAAGCCTTTAGGGTTTATATTTATTCTTTCGTTGTTATATTTCCCTTTTCTGCTGCTGATCCATTGTTTCTGTTCACTTTCTTGTGCTAGCAGTGTGCAGCTGGTTGCAGATGAAATCCAGTGTAAGGGATAGGGGTGTTAGCACCATTGCTGCTGAGGTTCTACTGGTGGTGGTTGGTTTTGTTTTGTATCCAGCCTGCGTCACCACAGAGTAAAATCATTGTGCAATACGTGGGATAGAGTATCAGCTACAGATCAGACTGTCTATTTATGCCTCGTTAAAGTCTCTCTGAAGCAATCGGTTATTGGATAGGCACATTGCAACAGTGTTTTTCAGGCATCGGAATGACAACTGGCCCTATTTTAAGTCAAATTAAAATTTTGTAGGGTAAGTGAGCCATAGCAAGAATCTAAGTTGTAAATTTGTGTAAAAAAATTTACAGGGAAAACAATAGTTTTTAGAGCCTGTTTTCTCAATGAGTAAAGGTACAGCACACATTCTTTCCTTGCCCTTTGTTCAGATGGTGCCTTTTAAAGGTGCTGTGTAAAAAGGCTGTTTAAAAAAAGCACATTCATTGTGTTCTATATTGGGTGATGACGTGGCCAGTCTGGAACTGGGTAATTGCAGCTCTGAGGATGCGAGCACATCAGGAAATGAAATTGCTGTGAGGAGTTGGAAGTTTCCTGGCTGGGTATTTAGGGAAACTGAATTTAACCTTTGGAAAGCCAAAAAAAAAAAAAAAATCCCTTTAAGAAAACTTTAAAGATAATTCAGTGCATGTCCTTGCAGACATATCGCAGTGAATATCACAAGCATTTGGAATTGTACCAGTGTGAGGTCTGAGAGGGTGTTTTGCCCAGGCTTTTGCTGCCTCAAATGCGTTTTGGTGGACATTTATCCAGTTATTTTTTAAGTTCAGCAGAGGCAAAAAGCCCTGTTGCTGCTAGATTCGTTGTTCTCACTGCCTCTAACATGCACTATCTGCAAAGTCAGCTGCATTTTCTTCACCTAGAAACTTGTTGGCATATGCTAACATTTCAGTGTTTGATTTTTGCAACCTCAGTGCTCTGATAATGTGAGTGTGTGCACATTGAGGGGAATGTTTACACTACTACTTGAAACTGCAAGGTGTTTCAGCAAAAAGTTTTGCTAGTAATTATTTTCTAGTAGTACTGTGGAAACAAAATATCCTTGTTCTCAGCAAGTTGTGCCTCGGTTCTTATTTCCAGTAGTGTTACATGTAGTTTATTTTTCATTCTATGTTGTGTTCAAGGAGTTTATATTCTTTTGCAATTGAATCATAGAATTATCAGTGAACTAATTTTTAGATGTTAGGCATGAACAGGTAAAAACTTCTGGCCAAGGTTATTTGTTGAGATCACAGAATGGCATTAAACACAAGTATTATAAGACTTCATTATGATAGACTTTGTAATGAAAATGGGGTGACTTCTCAGCTGAATTTTCCTTTTTAGAATGTCAGACTTTTTTCCCCTTCCCATTTTTGACTAGTGCTGGTATAGTAGTACTTGGAGGCCCCAGCTGAAATGAGGATTACACTGAAAAAAGTGAAAAGTCCAAGCTCTGGATTTTTATTCAGGAATTCTTCGGCTTCTGCCAGTCAGATGATTTGCTAGAGCTGAGATCTTGAGGGTTTTGTCTTGAATAATAGTGCACTGCCAGTGGTGCTGGGACATGCAGAACTTGCCATCTGGAACACCTATTTTCTGGGTATATTTTGTATTTAGAGTGTGGCAGATAGTGCTGCACTGCCCTGTGAAGGGTGTGTGATACTTTACCCTGTAATATTGTGCCACCTCAAGGAAAGGCCAACAATTGCACCAGTTCTTAGAGTGACCAAACAAGTGTCTTGTCTGATTCTTGTGAGGAAGCTGAGGATGGGCCAGACTGAAAACCGAAGTGTTTTAATTTTTCAGATCGTAGCACTGAGAAGGAGAAACTCTGCGAATTTTTCTCAATGACTCTATAGCCAACTGATGTAACAATGGTACTAATATTGGGACGCAGACTGAATAGAGAGGAGAGCGGGATACGAGACTCCCCTGCAACCAAGCGGAAGGTTTTTGAAATGGACCCAAAGTCATTGTCAGGCCCTGAGTTTTTTGACTTCTCCTCGGGATCATCCCACGCAGAAAGCATCCTGCAGATCTTCAATGAGTTCCGGGACAGCCGGCTGTTCACAGACGTGATCATCTGCGTGGAGGGCCGGGAGTTCCCGTGCCACCGCGCCGTGCTCTCGGCCTGCAGCAGCTACTTCAGAGCCATGTTCTGCAACGACCACCGGGAGAGCCGGGAGATGCTGGTGGAGATCAACGGCATCTTCGCCGAGGCCATGGATTGCTTTCTGCAGTACGTGTACACGGGCAAGGTGAAAATCACCACGGAGAACGTGCAGTATCTCTTTGAAACGTCGAGTCTCTTTCAGATCAGCGTCTTGCGTGACGCCTGCGCCAAGTTCCTGGAAGAGCAGCTGGATCCTTGCAACTGCCTGGGAATCCAGCGCTTCGCAGATACGCACTCGCTCAAGACGCTGTTCACCAAGTGCAGGAATTTTGCGCTGCAGACATTTGAGGATGTGTCCCAGCACGAAGAGTTCCTGGAGCTGGGGAAGGATGAGCTCATTGATTACATCTGCAGCGACGAGCTGGTGATCAGCAAGGAGGAGATGGTGTTCGAGGCCGTGATGCGCTGGGTGTACCGCGCCGTGGAGCTGCGCCGGCCGGTGCTCCACGAACTGCTGACGCACGTCAGGCTCCCGCTCCTGCATCCCAACTACTTCGTTCAGACTGTGGAGGTGGACCAGCTGATCCAGAACTCCCCAGAGTGCTATCAGCTCCTGCACGAAGCCAGACGATACCATATCCTTGGAAACGAGATGATGTCTCCCAGAACCAGGCCGCGCAGGTGAGGAATTTTGTGGTTTTCCTTTTTTTCTGTAGGAGAAGGACACAGTTTGTTGCACAGATGTTTGATATACACATGTCCAGAGAAAGATCTCTTGCAGATTATTTTGCTTTGCATTCTGGAGCTGCTACAGTTACTCTTCAGTACTTCCCCACAACCCGTGAAGCTCACAGGTGTCTTGAAAATGTGAGTTAAGTGAGTCTTTTTGCGCAGATCACTTTATTGCTGTGAAATAAATGACTCTTCAGGTAAGTGAAGTTATGTTACCTTGCAAATAAAACACTTTCTTAAGTTTAATGTTTGCTAGGGGAGACCTCAAAGTATTTCATACAGTAGCAGTGTGTTGAACAGAACTTAATGTTCTGTGGCAAGTGCACCACTGCATTTCTCAACCTTTCTTTTTGTAACAAAGTCACGTAAGTGTCCAGCACACCACAGAGGATGTGGATGGGGATATTATGTATTCAGAGCATTTCCTTGCTGCATCACAAATACTTTACAGATGGAGTAGCACATGTATTCGTAATAGACAGCAGAACAACAGGTTCTTAACTGTAAAGAAACCAAATACTGTGTTTTCAAAGAATTATGAAACAGTTCCTGAAGTATTTCATGCTTATTCTATGACATTTTAATAATTCAGAGTTGCTGCCACTTAATAATGCGTTACACAAATAGGTGACTGAGGTTGCAAGAAGAAATGAGGAAGAATCCATTAGTGGCATTTATGAGCAATGGTGGTTATGATTCTTTTTTTTCCTGAGAAATATTCTCCCAGCCTCATGTGAACGATAGTTGACACGATAGTTTATTGTTAACTCCAGCTGATTTAAACTGTATTTATAAAATCATATGTTGCATTAAGGTGATGCAATGATCTGGTCTAGACAGGCAGATTGTGTTAGGAGTTACTCCTCTTTGCTTACTCTTACTCATGTGTGGTTACTGTACAGTGACTGTTCAGGAAACCTTTATTTTTCTGGCAGGTGTTAAAGGCTTCCTTAAGGGGGAAAAAGAATACTTGGCAATGTTTGCCCCATTAGTGGCTTTCCAGTCTTCAGTCTTGCCACGAAGAAACTCTTGAAATCCTTGCAGTGCAGCTGCCAGGTTTTCTAAGCTGCACAGTGCTGTGGTGGAGGGTCTTTGGAAGTGTTTGGGTCAGGGCAGTTTGGTAACTGGTGCAATCGTTGTTTCTGAGTCCGGGCCTGAGGGAGGGCCCATGGGAATTCAGGCAGTTGGAGGGGGACTGTGTGCAGTGGTATTTGGTGTGGTGTTTATTCTGTGTCTATTACTCAATTAGCTAAAGAAGGCAAATACACTCAGACCCAGCAGTTTTGCCAGCGCGTGGTGTGTGTGTGCTTGAGAATCTGAGCAGCCCCAATGTAGTGCTGCAGTTTGCACATGAAGTAGCCTGCCTAACACAGGTGATTTCTGAAGCCAAGGGGTTTTGTTGGTTTTACTGCTGAGCTTATTAAACTGCACTGGGAATTCAAGTAGGCAGGAACAAGAGAAGTAATTTACAAAGAGGAAAACTGGCTGGCCTCCCAGCAGGAATTTTTTCTCCTTTTCTATAATACATTCATGGAATAGTTCTTTGTCATTTGTTTCTGTTGCCTGTTTGTTTCTGTTGCCTATAGCAAAAAGATCATATTTTAAAACAGTTGCCAGGTCCCCCTTCTCCTGTGTTTTCACCACACCTTTTCTGGGCATTTCAGGAGGGGGCTGGGGAAGAGAGAACAGGATGCTGGAAAGCTGTTTTCCCTCTTTCTTGCCTTCCTCCAATTTCTTTTCTATATAAACTGTTTCCAAAAGGAGACAGGCTGCAGGACAAGAAATTCCCATGCCAGTGTTTCTGTTGAAGGTTTGGGAAATAACTAGTGATTGCTTGGATGCACTTACGGGTGAAGTGGGTTCTAGCTGTTTTTTAAACAAGTTAATTTTTTTTTTTCTTTTTGAAGCCAGGGAAGAGTTACCTGAAGGGAATTAAAGTTTAAAGTGTGGCATAACCATTGCTCTTTGCCAGTAAGGGATCACTGACTAATGAGGTTCTGAAAGAGCTTTTCAGTTATGGACTAGTGACATCTTGAGGCCATCTCTCCTGCTCCTTTGGAGTCTCTCTGGTTGTGTTGCACCACAGATCTCCAGGCTGAGACCAGGCAGTGAGCAGTAACACATTTCCATAGAAAAGACAACATAGGCTCTTCCTGCTATGTGATTTGTCTTCAGATTTTCATCTACCTGTGAGTTTTTCAGTCAAACTTTCTTTTAGGCTGTCTAGTTACCATCCCATGAGCGTTCTCTTTAACTGGAAGTTATTACATTTATACATTTTAACACATCCTTTTTGGTTTCCTTTAGAAAGCTTTAATGTAATCCCTCATTTTTCCCCCTAGGAGGTGGGTTTCTATTTCACTTCACTTTTTATCTGCTATTTCATTTACTACCCAAAAGTGATTTAACAGCGGGGAAGGAAAAAGGAGCGATTTGGCAGAATTTCTGCCATTTGTTTTCCAAACTTCACATGGTTTTGAATGTGATCTCTCTGAGCTGCGAGAGTTCTGTCCTGCTCTCGCTGTGCGGGTTGGTGCTCTCCTTGTGTAACTCGGGACCCCCAGGGAACGTGCTGTTGGGAATGTATGGAACTGCATGGCACTGCTGGTCATATCCACCCTCACTTCTCTATTTTATGCTCCTCTTCCAGTGCCTCCTGGAATCTCTAGTGTCTGTTTTAGCGCCTCTATTATTTTGTTCCCACTGTTTCTTCTGAGGGCTATAAGGAGGGCTTCCTGTACTACTGGTTGAGGTCACAGGTTTTTCTAACCTTCATTCAAATATATCCTTAGTTCTTTTCTGGAATTAGCCTTTGCCTGTATGTTCTTTTCGTATACTTCCACCACAGTTTTACTTTTTGTGTTCAAGTAATGTGCTCTCTTTCATTTGCAAAAATAAATCTTAGGAGCTAACCATAAAACCTATACAGTGCATGACTCCTACAAGAAAATGTAATGGTGAAAATGTTTCTTAACTGAAAAAAGAGTACGGTCATAAAGGTACTAAAATGTTGGGGAAATTATTTGTTTTCTGTAGATTTGAAATACTATGCTAAATGAATATTTTCTTTAAAGAGAAAGATTTCGTCTTAACAATTAATAAAGGGCTCTCTCTGGGCAAAGATTTTTGGTTCATTTATTTTTAAAATACAGTAAGCTTTTCACTATGTGAGTGGAGGCCTTGATTCTAATCTAGAAAGTAATCCTCAGGCAAACCTCTTTGTTCCCACAATTAGCTGGTGTATCTGGACTTGCTTCTGTGGCAAAGTACAAGATGAGTGTCTTGCTTTTACGGAAGTTTTTTTCCTCAGTAATGCTTTGCTGGCACAGGAACTTCCCCTCTCTTACCCTTTGAGAGATTCTTTTCAGAGTTGTTCCTCAAAAAAGCAAAAACCAGTAACAATAAATACATAGAAACCAGGAACGAGCCTGACTGCAAAGCTGAGCAGCTGCCGAGAGTTCCTTCTGACCTGGTTCAGGTGCGTAAGTGCCGCTCCTCAGACACATCTCATTTATAGCATCTTGTTGGATGTTACCATTTAGCACTGCCTTTTCCTGTGTTCTGAGTAGAAAGATGGATGGTATATTTAAATTGCAGTGTGTGGTGATGAGATAAAAGGGCTAACTAGCTTTGTTGCTGGTGTTTCAAAACAGGGAAAGCTTCATCAGGATTTATAGGTGAATATGTGCATCAGTTTGTATTAGGAACTTTAGGGGCAGATCATGCAACTTTTACCTCAAAGGCAGTTCTGAGTCTTTTGTTTTTGAGAGAAGACTGCAGTGCTCAGCAATGGCATTAATGCCTCTTCTGTGAGATGCCTGTTCACACTGGGATCATCGTACAGAGCACGACACGACAAAAAGGCTTATCAAAAATGAAATCAATCTTGCATTCAGTTTTACTTAATTGACAGCAGTCCTTGAAATAAATATGTCAGTGCAAAATGCTTTAATCTAAAAACGCCCTGAAAAGAAAGGAGTTTGACAAATGCTGATGGGAAATTAGAAATTCAAGAGGAGGAATAAAAGGTGGTCACAGTTTCATTTGCACATCAAAGATGGTTGAGTCTCTACATTCAAATGTGGATTAATAAATAAGAAGTTTTGTTATTGCTCTGAATGTAGAATATGTATAATACAAAAACATTTGGTTAGTAGAAGGAAAATGAGTGTGTGGAATATAATTTAAAGACCTGTTTATGTACATTGCAGACTGTCTAAAGCTTAATTTTTTTTCACACTGAGTTTTAATTTTTGGTTTAGGTTTGAATCTTTATTTCATTCTTTATTGTTTCCTCCTGTCACTACTCTTGTTTTTTGCTTTACTGTGCATTGGCTCTTAGGCCTCTTTCTTTTCCCTTATTTTGGTGACTCTATTCTGTCAGCTTTTAAACTTTTTGGATATTTAAGCAATGTAAAGTAGTATTGATTTTGTAAAACTTGGGGATGTGAAACATGAGGATTGGTTTCATTGTGAAACAGGTCTTGCTTGAACTTGGTTTCTGATCTCTGGATGTGCACAAAGTAAAAATACTATTAAAGTAAGGGCTTTCTGTGTTATTTAATGATTTGATTTTTACATATAATGTTGTGCAGTGGAACTCCACCACTTACACAGGCACCTGTCAGTGACACCTGCTGTGTAACGAGACAGCTGGAAACAGTAAAACCTCTGTTTGCTAAATGACTCCTCTTTTTTCTTTATTGTAGAAGTTAACACTAAGTAGTAAATATTCTGATTTTCACGAAGTTTTGAGGACAATGTTGTTTGACTTCCATATACTAATAAATACCTCCTACATCTCAGTTTTTTCTGTGTTCACTTTTTTAGATCAACTGGTTATTCTGAGGTGATAGTTGTTGTTGGAGGCTGTGAACGAGTTGGAGGGTTTAATTTGCCGTACACGGAGTGCTATGATCCCGTAACAGGAGAGTGGAAGTCACTGGCTAAACTTCCAGAGTTTACCAAGTCTGAGTATGCGGTGTGTGCTCTACGGAATGATATTCTTGTTTCAGGTGAATAATCCTAAAAGTTTAAGATTTCTTTCTCTTCGTGGTTGGTTGCTTTTCTTTACTAAATGATCTCCAAGGTCCCTTCCAACCCAAGCCATTCTGTGATTCTGTGATTGATTGGGGATTGTTTTCTTATTTGTTGTTTGGGGTTTTTTTTCAAGTAGTGTGGCAGATCTTTGTACTGAGAACTTCCAGAAGCTCAGCTGAAAGTCACTTTCTGATGTAAATGGTGAAAACCAGCCCCAGCTCAATCTTACTGTAAACAAAAGTGTTTTCTGGAGTTTTTGTTTGGCATGAATCTGCAGCTTTTTACAGCTGATTCCAGGACATCAATTGTATTTAAAGAGACTGGCTCATGCAATACAGTGCTTTAAAATACAGCAGCAGACTGTTTGCAGCAACAGCTGGGAAAAGTACAAGCAAAAAATCCCAAGCAGGCCTTTCTCAGCTGTTCTTTAGCAAGGGAAAATTACAGGGTGCAGCTGATGGTTCAGGCACCACACTCTGTTAGTTCAGCCAAAGGAGTTGTCTCCTCAGGGGTGTGGTACCTGTGTCATTTGAACAGTGTGAAACAAAGGGGGTGTGCACACACAGGACAGAGCAACAGCGGGGGTTGGGGATGTGCCATAGGACACTTGAGGGGAGAAGACTTTGAGTGTCTCATCCAGGCAGTGACACTACAGGAAATCTGAATTCAGAGCATGGGCAAAGCCATTAACATGCACTCAAGAAATAATCTAATGCGATCTCAGCATGTTAGTGAGGAAGGCAGACATAAGGAAAATAACCCACTGTGTGCTTTTGTGTTTGAAATCCACTGGAAATTACTTTTCCAGTCTTACTTACAACTACTGATAGGTCCTTATTTCACTCAAAAAGTGATATGAAGTTTTCATTGCTCACCGTAGAGGCACATGTTAGTGGCATTTCACATACAATAGCTATTCAAAATGGCATATTTTTGTTTTTATAGGTGGAAGAATCAATAGCCGGGATGTCTGGATTTATAACTCTCAACTTAACATTTGGATCAGAGTTGCCTCCTTAAACAAAGGAAGATGGAGACATAAAATGGCTGTTCTTCTTGGTAAAGTAAGAGAAGTATATTTTAATTGTTTTTATAGTGGAGGTGTTTTCATGTAGATAGGAAAACAGTAGAGAAAACATTTTAGTATTACTTGTATTTCGTATCAAATACTTAAAAAAAAACCAGGCTCTTTATGAGTCAGACACTACCCCTGGATGTGAAAATCATCTTACTGCTCAGTCATTCATTTTGTTGTGTTTTTTTTCATCATTGAAGTGTCTTATTCCCAAGAAGCAAATTTTTGGGAAGCAAAGAAGCATCTGAATTAGCCTGTGCTTCAAAAGTGCTGTCAAAGGTCTAACAGTTATGCAGTTATTAACAGAAATTGGTGCTGATTGGAATGTCAGCTCTCTTATTTAATGTTTTATGTTGAAATTAACCAAACACATGCAGTATGGAAACGGGAGGGTTTGCTGTATTTTGAAGGTGTATATGGCGGAACATAAAATGGGTAGTTGGGATCAACTGCCTGTGGGGATTCTGTTAGTGAAACTTAGGAAAGATGTGCATGTGGTATCCCTCGGGCTTCTTAGAGATGGAACTTGCAGCTGAGCAAACAGAGAGAAGAAAGTAGACATAAATAATGAATTCTACCTTTAAAGTGTGAGAGAAGGGAAAGTAGAGTTTACAAACTGAGATGAGGAAATATTTCTGTAAGTAAGTAGGGAAAAGCAAAACACCGAAAATCAAATGTAAACTCAGATGGACTTTTGCTGCTGCTGTTGCTGAATGCCATCTAAAAAAAGAGAAATGCAGAGAAATGCCTTTTCTAACAAATGCCATTCAAACAGGACGTTTCTATCGTAGTATTAATAATACCATGCCTTGGCATGTGTTTGCAGTGTCATTCCACATGTGACTGAATGGAACTCTCCAGGAAGTCATTACCCTTTATTTTCAGACTGCATTCTTCTTCTCCTGCATATAAATTAAAAATCTGAGAAAAGTATCCCTTCACAAACCTAGCAAATTAGCTTTACATTAATTTAATGTGATATTTAAATGTAACCCTTACTCTACCCAAGAAACGATGGCAGTCTTCACCCCTCTGCACAGGTGTACGTGGTTGGGGGATACGACGGGCAGAACCGGCTGAGCAGTGTGGAGTGTTACGACTCCTTCTCCAACCGCTGGACGGAGGTGGCTCCCCTGAAGGAGGCCGTGAGCTCCCCGGCTGTGACCAGCTGTGTGGGCAAGCTCTTTGTCATCGGGGGTGGGCCTGATGACAACACCTGCTCTGACAAGGTCAGTGAGTTGTGTTGTGTTGTGTCTTCTGCCCACAGGCAACAGTGTTGCTGGGTTAAAACCTGATCCTGCAGATGTCTGCTTTAACTGTGTTTGCTGAAGGGAGTATGGTGGTGTTATAAGACAAAAAATACAGAATAGAAAATGTTAATTCAGGGATACACTGTTCCTGTGTTTTTTCTCATGGATACTGTCACTTAAACCTGAGTGTTCAGAAAATAATGTCAAATACAAGTGTGTGTGTGTAGACATTATTGATACGTAGACTTACACTGACTTTGTTTTCTTGGTGAGGTATTGCCCACCAGGCACTGCTTCTTTGTCTCTACTTATATAACCTGTGTGGGCATGCCAGGCTGTTATTTCAGTCAGGCTGTTAAGATGAAAGGCCTGTATTTGTTCTCAGGTTCAGTCCTACGATCCTGACTCCAACTCTTGGTTGCTCCGTGCAACGATCCCCATTGCCAAGAGATGTATCACGGCCGTGTCCTTAAACAACCTGATCTACGTTGCTGGTGGGCTCACCAAAGCCATCTACTGCTATGATCCCATTGAGGACTACTGGATGCATGTACAGAACACGTTCAGCAGACAGGTAATTAACAGTAAAAGACCTGTACGCAGCTGAGATGTAGTTTTTGACGTTAACATCTTAGCCTGAAATGAGTATGCACTTGTTTAACTCTGACACAGTTGCATTTCTGATTCCGTTCTTGCTTTACCTCTTCTTCTGTGTAATTCAAAGCCTCACAGAAGAATTTTCTAAACCAGTAGCTTTTTAGTTGGGCATCAGTATTAGCCTCTCCACACTTTGGGAGCAGTTACTGTTGGAGAACAGGGTAACAGTGTAATGGATGATTTTTTAATTGTATAGAAATGAACTCTGTCAGGTTCTGCTGCATGTTTTAATTTAGACTGAAGATAGTAATTTCCTTAAATTGATTAAAGCCTTTCAGTGTAACCAGAAATATTGAAGGCTGTTTTTACAGTGTGAAAAAGCCCCTTTGTATAGCATAGAAAGTTTCTGATTTGAGTAGTGAGAGCTCTGCAACTGCCAGATATGGGACACAAAGCTTAACCTTGGTGGTGAAGTGTGTGTGTGTATCAGTTACATTTCCCGATGTTTTTAAAACATCAGTCACGTACCCTGTGGTATTTCCTTAACAGAACTTCATTCTTTCCTGGCCTTCCCTTTGGTCCTCTGTTTTGATCTGTGTTCTCTATTTCACTGAATATTTTTTCCATGCCTGCTTTCAAGGAAGAAATAAAATCCTATCCGTGTTTCAAGTAAGACATAGCACAATCTTTTCTTATGCACTCCTTTTAGTCATGCCTCTTTTCCTCTTCCCATTTACATCCCTCTTCATTATCTGTTATTCCTCTAAGATGCTTCTCCTTTTTCCATCTTTTGCATTAGTAGTACCTACTGTGGTCCCTCTTCTGAAAACCTTTGTTCTCTTCTCCTTTCTCTATCTCAGATCTTTAAATGGTGAGTACAGTGTTCAGCTGAATTCCATTGTATCCCTCGTCTGAACTATGGAGACCTGAAATAGTCTTTTCTGTAGGATTGTGCTGTTGCTTTCTGTAATTATGGTCCTTTCTGCATTGGTCCTTTCAGAAGGGAATAGTATAGACCTGTTTACAAACAGAAATCAGTGCTGCCCACCTGCACTGGGGCAGACATGCACGAATCAAGGTCTTGCTTTTTAGATAATCATGTATTCCTTTGTGTTTCTTTGAAACAGGAGAATTGTGGCATGTCTGTATGTAATGGAAAAATCTATATCCTTGGTGGAAGACGGGAAAACGGTGAAGCCACAGACACTATTCTTTGTTATGACCCTGCAACGGGCATTATCACGGGAGTAGCAGCCATGCCCAGGCCAGTATCGTACCATGGCTGTGTGACCATTCATAGGTATAATGAAAAAGGCTTTAAACTGTAATTTTTCTTCCTGAAAAAAAGAAGAAAACGGCATGAATGAATCCAGTGGTCTGCTGCAAGACAGGCTTTTTAAAGATTCCTGAAGTGGGAATTCCCTGCCTAAGTGTCGTATGAAAATTATATCCTGTGCCTTTAGAAAAAGGGTTCATTTAACTGACAAAACAAGTCTCCAAACCTGCCCAGTAACCAGAGTTCATTTGTATCTGCTGTGGGCTCTGATACAAGAGCAGTAACAGTATGTTGTACTAGTGGTCAGCAAGTTTGCCCTATGTGTGATTAGTAATTAAAATCTTGGAAGCTTTTTGGGGAAAGTGCCTTCACAAGCTTTTGTGCCTCTGTCCTAAGAAGCAATATCTGCAAGGTGTTTCCAGTTCTGCTAATGGGAAAAACAGATTCTTTGATCCCAAAGAATCATCTAAGATAATTACCTATAATTTAAAAAGTTTAAATAATTGTAATTCATATGCAGCATTCCTACAGGCAGATTACTTGGCTTAACCAAGCAGATTATATGTCAGATCATGCATGGTTTGGAATTAAAACCCCAAAAAGCATCAACAAAACAAGCTACATAGGGCAAACATGAGAGTCTTCGAGGAATGCTTTTTTCTGAAGGAGAAGCTGGTTGTTTTGTGAGCCACCACAACACACTGCAGTGATGATTGTGTACCTTAACCCTGTGGACCTTATTCATAGTGTTGATAGATGTCCATCAGAAGTACAAGGCTACATGGCATGGAAAACCAGTGGAGTGTAGGCCGTGTGTCTGTGAAGCAAATTTTGTATCCCAGTTTTTACCTTTGTGAGCAGTATGGCTGAAGGTTACTGGGTTCTCTCTTTGCTCACTGCCAAGTATCTCTACACTATTTAAGAAGTAAAAGAGGATGAACTCTGGGTTCTCCCACTTACCTGAATCACATTTTAAATTACCTGAGGATAGAGTTAGGGATTTGGGTTGTGCCCTACCGCTTATAAATTGTTTTTTTGGATATCTCATCTGCAGAGATGGCAGAGTATCCACCAGGTATTTCTTGGCCTTTCTTCAGACAATCACTTACTCAGCACAGTTAAACTACTGTATAAGCTGCTTGGCCATAGATAAAGACATTCTGGGAAGGTCCCTGCTGTCACCAGAAAAGTATCTGTGGACCTGTCCATGTAGGCATATGAGGTGACTCCCATATGACATATTTTGGATAATTTTGAAGCTGAGGAAGCACCTGTATTTTGACACATACTACCATTTAATTTTTTTTTTTTCAGGAAAGGTATTTTTTTTAAGTCCTCTCAAGACTTCTGTTCTAGGTCTCTTTATTTCCAGTACACAGTTGTACAGTTGAGGCACAAAGTTCATAAAAACTGAAACAGCACTTGAGAGTTGGAAAATGAATAGGATTGTCTGCATACCAATTTCCTGGTAATCACCAAAAACCTCAGGAACTGCCTTTTAAAGGAATTCTGAGGACTGCAGCCAATAGGGAAGTTGGTCAGTGCCAGGGTAGAAGAAAAACCATAAAACCCCTGCGGAGCCAGCCCTGGCCTCGGGGTTCTGGTCTCTGTGCTTGCTCGGAGGGTGAAAATAAGCACCATCTCTGGAACGTTGTTTGTTCCACTGGACTTTCCTCATCTGTTTTCCCAGAGTATTTCTGCATGAGATGGAAATTCTGACCCTCAGTGAAGCTGTGCCAAACTGGGAGTCACCGTTTTCAGTAACATGGTCATGACTTTTAAAGAGCACTGGGAGCTGCACTTTGGGATGTATTGACTTGTAACCTCAGGAAAGGACACAAATTTCAGTTTCTGGCTGGATACCAAACACTGCTTTGTATATACTGAATAAGAATATTGATAAAATACCAATCTCTGCATATCAGTGATTGATCAGGAAATCAGTCCCTGAGCAGGTACATCCACATTGCCCTAAAAAGAAAGTCCCTCGGTAATGCAAGACAAATGAGTCAGATAAATTAATCCTTTTCTAAATTCCTTCTGTTTCTCCTCACCAAGTTTTACTTTGAAAAAACAATTTCAGTACCTGTGAATAAGGTCTGTTGATTGCAATGGTAATTGCCCAGTAACTGATACTATATACTAACAGTGTATATAGCTTGTGCCATCATTTTAAATGAAAATGTCAAAAATTCTAGGAGCACTTAATTAGAGATGCAATTTGAAAAATACTCTCCTTTCCTTTGATTTCCTCTTTGTTTGTATTCAGACTTGTAATGTTGATTGTTATGCTAAACTGTTTTTAGACAGTCTTCTGTAGGTGTAGAACAGTGTCATTTAATATGTTTATAATAATACTGCACTACTCTGTAAATAACAAGATACTGCTTTCTATGGTTTTGAAGATGCATTTTATAGTTTAGTTGTCTTTTCTAACAATTTATGTACTGTTACTGTTACCTATTATTTTGAAAATGACAGTGTTTAATGAACAGTAAATGCAGAAATGTAGATGCAGAAGAAGACTTCTGCTTACGATTCCTGACAACCTGTATTCAGTGCTGAGCAGTTACAGGTGTGGAGCATTGCTTAATGGCAGTTATTTATGCAATGATTTCCTTAAAACAGGCAGTGAGATTTTCTTCTTGCTTGTTAACTCAGTAAATAATTTGCACTTATGGCCTGCTCTGTTACAACAGTTATTTTCAGATGTTCTAGAAAAGGAACGATTCAACTTTGGTTTAGTGAAAATGAACCATTTTTCTAGAAGGATGCGTTGATTTGGAAGTCGCATTCCTGAGCCACCTGTTCTCCAATGCATTTCACTTAGGTATAAATGAATTCCAAGATTTAAACTGTCACTATTATGCATATTTAGCTGCTTGTAGTTTATGGGCTTGAGCAGCAAGTCAGGGGAGGGGGGGAAGGGGTTTGTCTCAGCTAGGAGAGAAAATTACTAAAGCCATGTACTCTAATCAAAATAATCACCATCATAAATGGTGATTTTGGTAGCTGTAGAGCACCTGCACAAAGACATAACTTCAGTCCAACCACACACGGGAAGAGGGCCCAAGTATCTCCAAGAAACACCTAAAAATTAAGCTTTAAGTATTGTCTTCACTAAACACGAATGAGTAAGTATTTTCCTTTCCATTTTGATGTCCAGTCCTGTTCTTAGTAATGTGATGTTCATTGAAAAGGAAGTTGATGCTTCCTTGCAGCAGGGGTTCTGGAAGGTTCTGAATCGCTGATTTCAGTACTGCAGTACAGAGCAGCTGAAGCATTCCCCCTTTTACAGCCATCAAGCACGGAACCCTTCCTGGGAATCATGTAGCTGTACCTGTAGGCTGCCTCCTTGATAATGCTTAAGTAGGCATAATTTGTGGAATCTCTACCATCAGGTGAATCATTTTATACTGTAAGCCTGCTTTTTGGGAATTGGGCACTGTGCTTTCCACTCCTGCACAAAGGGGTCCAGATTGTGCACTTTCTACTTTAATTGGCACCAGTGCAGTTCTCATCAAAGATTGCTTTGTGTGTACTCTCTGAAGCAGAGATGTTAATGCACGTTATGTTGATATGGACCCTTATCATAATTTACTGAAGCTTTTTAAACGATATTTTTAATACTGCAAATTTTTGATAGAGGCTAATGATGCAGGAAGAGGAAATGCTCACTTTGACAGAGGTTCAGAGGAAGCTTGAGAGCAAGGACACTGCTGCCTGTTCCAGCTTCTTCCTCAGAATAGTTGAGTTCACCACGTTATCTTAGGGAAATACTCAGTTTATCCTGGTTTTCCTTTACTTGAGCTGCAAGGACAGAAGGAGAAGCAGGGCCCGCTCACTGCCTGTGACTTCAGGTTCCCCTCCTGCCCGAGGCTGATGGGGCAAAGCCGTGAGCTCTGTCCAGCTCCAGAGAGACGAGACAAAAGGAACTCCCCGGAGTGGAGATGTGGCAGGAGGGGCTTGCTGAAACCAAGGTGTTCTGGATGCTCACGAGTTGGCAATTCCAGATGCAGAAACTCAGGTGGTAAAAGTATTTTGTGTCTGCAATAGATGTGCAGATACGGTTATGCTCTGCCAGTGGCAATGCTCAGAGAAGCCAAAGGGTCATCTTTCTGAATTGCCCAACTAGGCAAGTAGATGTGGGGGTTCTGCCTTCCACGGAAGATGGCAAAAACCAAGAGCATTAAGAAAATCACAAGACTTGATCACTGTGAGGCGCAATGAATATTTTCATCTGAATGTAGTCTCGTGCACGCAAGAAAGTACAAGTGAAATGGTTTGTTGTGCCTGGCTGAAAAAAAATCTGAGCAACATATACTCAGATAAGGAGTCTACATGGTAAGATGAGATTTCTAAGCAGAAATTTACTGTCTGGTTGGGGGCCAAGCAGTGATTTTTATTGTTTTTTTAATATGTTTAGCACACAAGTTTCCTCAGTGTGGAATTATTTCAGATGGCATTAATAAAAAATGGATGTGGCTGTCAGTTCATCATGACAGTGTCAGTGCTGTGAGCATTGCCACACAACAGCCTCCTGCCAGCCCCAAACGGGCAGTGACTCGTGTGTTCTCTGCACGCCGCCTTTGCTGTCTTCCCTAACTAATGTTACACACAAGGTCATCAAAGTATAACAGCCCTGGTAACATTACTGTCTGAGAACTGTAAACTATTTACAGGAACATTTCTTTTTTTCTACTGTAGGGATCCAGTCTACGCTCATGTCTGTGTGTGAATAATTCTGTGATCATTTTCTGGTAGTGCTGTTACAAGTGATGCACATAAAGCCCCTGTGTACAGCTTGTTAATAATGTAATTATGGCTTACTTTGTATGATTAACTTCAAAGAAAAGAATGTATGTTAATTTTGAAAAGACCTGTGCCTTGAATTCACCTATATTTTTATCTATTGTGAAAAAGAGCTTGGGTTACTTCTCCCAGTTTGTACCTTTATTAGGATTGGTCTTACTGTCTGGACTGTTGATGTCCTTCTAAGAGAAATAAATTTTGCCATTCATTTTAATATGAATAGTTAAACTTCTTGTTTAGAATATGCCTAGAATGCTTCCATTTATACAGTGCTATGGCAGATATAATCTAGGGAAATCAGTATTTGTTTTTTTCTATTTTTTGTTTCAGTGACAAAGGACTGAGTTTAGTCTTTGACTTCCTGACCTAAACATGTACAGTTTCTTGTTTTAGTCAGTAGCCTCTGTGATATTTCTGAACTCTCTGAAGTCATCAACCTCTTGTTCAAGATACAAAATATGAAGCAATAATGTGGTGCAGCATGGCAATAAGCAAATCAAGAGACTTGAATGTAATGTACTATTACTAATTCATCTGTGTAAATGCTGGACCTATGAGTCATTCTCCTTTGGTGCACCTGTAGCAATTTGGAGTCAGATAAATAGGAGCTACTTGGCCACAGAAGGAGAGTTTACCTCCTGAACTGTTACTCATATGATACTTTATCTTTGCCTGAAATCATGTTTTGATTTTCCTTTTTTTTTTTTTTTGCTGAGGAAAACAGCAGTTCATGCTATTCTTTGCCAGTTCCTTTATTTACTGAAACATAAAAGCCGTAGTTCCACGAAGAGCTGATCTTGTCCTGGAGAACAGCCTGGTGCAGCACAAGTGATTGAACAGGAAAGCTCAGACCACTTACTGTGTGCCAGAGTCACGTTACGTATGTAACGTGTCTCACATATAACATTGAGGTCTTCGGATTGTGCTGACAGTAGAAAAGTGATTTTGTTATGTAGCACAATTGCAATAACACCTGTTATATTTAAAATATATTTCTTGCATAATTCTTTGAAAGTTTTTTTAAGTTCAGTGTACCTAATAAACATTTGCCTTTTGAATAGTTCACTGTGGTTTATTTAGTTTATGCGAAGTTCCAGGGTGGGGCTTGGTGGAGCAAGGAGGAAGCTCCCTCCTGTTTTTTCTGGGTCATTTAACTTGCTGGATTCTGGCCCTTGTGCAGTCTCTGTCCACTGATCCTTTATTCTGCCTCCCAGTATACGTGTTTTCCCTCCTCATCTTTCTGTCCTCAACACAGAACTTACTACCAAGGGGAATAAAGGCAAGCTGGAGGCTATGCAGAAGAGTAAACTTGAAAGGAAACTGAAAAGAAAACAAACAACCCAAACCAACGTGTGTGGGATGTGAAATCTGGTTTGTCCTGGGTATTGTGATGAGAAAAGAAGGTGAGGGGACTTGGAAGGCAAAACCAGCATGGGAAATCAGGAAGAGGTCACATAACACTAGGAAGGTGACTGGCAATAACACAGGTTGGAAAGAACCATATAAAATGTTTATTTTCCTAATGTTAGCTACTTGACCATCTCAAGGTCCCACTCCCAGATGGCAAGAGTAAGCAGGTCAGACTGTGATGGAGAGGTACTATTACACCTGAACTGAGAGCAATCATTTGATTTAATATCACATTTTTTACAAATTACATCCATCTTTCACATATTTTCTAGTGGAATACTAGTTGTACTCTTGGCTTCCTCTTCTGTGTAATGTGTATTTTAGATCTCTCAGAACTTGCCCTTTGTGCAATCTTAGTCTTGCTTACTTCCCCAAAACATTGAAATGTTCTTAGAACAGGCCTAGTAGTGGCCCTTGAACCTTCAAGTACTTGCAAATTAGTGGCCTCATAAATAAGTTGGCAAATCCATGAGTGAGCAGGGCACTAATTTATGCTGGTTCTCAGCTCCCTGCATGAACCATGAGACTACCAGAGCAAAGCATCAATGCCATTAGCTGCACCTGACAGGTATTGCTGCCTGGCCAAAACCAAACACAAACTGTGGCATTCGCTGCACTAATTTGGACAATTTCAGCTCTGATTTGAGAGAATATGAAGTATGGTGAGCAGTAAGTATGGTATAAGGTTTGTGTGAAGCCTGTTTAAGGGCAGGTGAGGGCTGCTATCCTGGCTGTGAGGTGGCACATGCTGTGGACTGCTGCTATCCTGCACCTCATCAGCCTGGCATCCTTTCTTGGGTTTTGTTTTGTTGGTTGGTTGGTTTGGTTTGTTTGTTTGTTTGTTATTTGCTAATCATATAATCACAGAATCATTTTGGCTGGACAAAACCTGAGATCGTTGTCCAACCTGTCATGTCAACTAGACCTGAGTGCACTGAGAGCACTAAGTGTCACATCCAGTCTTTCCTTAAACACCTCTAGGGGCGGTGACTTCACCACATCTCTGGGCAGCCCGTTCCAATATCTAACCACAATTTATGTGAAGAATTTCTTCCTGATGTCCAACCTACCCCCCCCCCCCCGGCGCAGCTTAAGACTATGTCCTTTTGTCCTGTCCCATGTTGCCTGGGAGCAGGGCCCGACCCCCACCAGGCTACAGCCTCCTGTCAGGGAGTTGTAGAGAGTGATAAGGTCACCCCTGGGCCTCTTTTTCTCCAAGCTAAACACCCTCAGCTCCCTCAGGCGCTCCTCACAGGACTTGTGCTCCAGACCTTTCACCATCTTCGTCGCCCTTGTCTGGACCCGCTCCAGCACCTCAGTGCTCTTATCATCCTTTAGTGAAGTATCTTTTGTATAATAATGTCTCCCTCACATTCTATTACACATTAAAACACGGTTGTTCCAGGCAGCAAGTCCGGATGAGGGCACTGCACCTGTCCCTCCAGACAGGAACGCGGCCGCGTCGCTCATCTCGGTCGCGGCGGTGCCCCAGGCGAGCCTTGCCCTGCCCACAGCCCTCTCCTCGCCCACGGCGGGACTGGCGCGGCCGGACCCCCACAGCGCCACGAACCCGGCTTGACCCCTCTGCCCTGAGGGAGCTCCGCTGTCTCCGCGCTGTCCCCTGCCGAGAGGCAGCCGCTGCCCGCGGCCACAGGTGCGGCCCCTCACGGCCCCTCACGGCCCGGCACCGCCCCCCGCTCGCTGCCCGCCTGCGCGGGCCCGCCCCGGCGGCGAGGGCGGCGCTGGGC